GAAGTCCAGCAGAGGAAAGGTGGAAAGGCTAAGTATACGAAAGAACAGGGATTGTGAAGATCTGAGAAGATCAGACGAGATTCCACATGGGGAAAACTCTTTAATTGAAATGGGAAGAGAGAAGGAGAGGGTCAGATAATGTGTACATAGGTTTGTGGTTTGGTCTGGGATAGGGGACATTTTGAGAGATTTTTTTATGATTACTTCTATTTTCCCCCGAGTTAACAATTGAGACAGAGGAGGAGTTTGGGGAGCCACAGGTCTGCTTAGCCAGAAGGTCTGGAGTCTCCACTGTGAACTGACAGGTATATGAAGGTTCTGTCAGTGGAGTCCTGGTGTGGTGCTGTGGGTTAATGCACCAGACTGCAAAGCCGTTTGAACTGCATAGTCAGTGGTTCAAGCTTACCAGCTGCTCCTTAGAAACCATATATAGGGTCGCTATGGGTCGGAATTGACTTGATGGCACTTAACAACAACAATATAAGTGCTAGTGGGGGCAGTGGGGGATCTGGGGCAGAATTTTCACTTACTATGCTAGAGACCCTTGGAGTCCTGGTGTGGCACTATAGGATAAGCCATGACCAACAGAACTGGGCTGCAAGGTCAGTTTGAACAGCAAGGTTGGCAGTTCAAACCCACCAGCTGCTCCTCAGAAACCCTACAGAGGGTTGCTATGAGTCAGAACCAGTTTGACGGCACTTAACAACAACAACATTCCAGAGACCCAGGTTCAACTCCCAGACAAGGTACTTCACGTGTGGCCACCACTTGTCTGTCAGTGGAGGCTTGTATGCTGCTATGACTGCTGAACAGGTTTCAGCAGAGCTTCCAAGTTAAGATAGACCAGGAAGAAAGGCCTGGTGATCTGTCTATGGATCACAATGGTACAATGCACAACAGACCATGGGGGTGGCACAGGACTGGACAGCACTTAGTTCTGTTGGTCATGGCAGCTAACAACGTGCTGATGTCAGAAACGTGAGCTGTCCTTGTGTAGGGTCCCCAACAACAGTGCCCAGCAGTCTGGGACAGCCATGGGGAAGTGGAAGCTAGTAATGGGGTTTCTTCTAGGTGAGTGCTTCAAAGATACAGAGAAGCAAGGGTAAACAGGGACTTGGGAAAAAGGTATTGACACGATGCAGGCCATGATAGGAAATGAACACAGGGCCCCACAAGGTCATAGAGGTTCCTGGAGGAAGCGCTTTCTAGGATTCTAGGTTGAGGGAAAGGAAATGTGAAGACCACGAGAGAGGGGTGTTTGCTGAACCTGTGGCAGGCAGCAAGAAGGCTGGCATTGCAGGCTGAGTGACAGAGAGGGGCGCTAGGAGATGCATTTCGGAAAGGGGCCAGGCCAAGAAGGGATTTTATTCTAAATGTGCTAACAAGCCATTGGAGGATTTTAAGTAAATCAGACCAGCTGCAGTGTGGAGATTAGAATGAGTGGAGCAAGAATAGAAGCCTCCAGATAGGAGGCTATTGTGGAGGGGTAGGCCAGGTGGAGGGGTAGGAAGTGACTGAATTTGTGAGGAGAGTTGACAGACTCATCTGCTGTCCTGGGTATGAGAGGTGAGTGAAGGAGTCAAGGACGACAGGCTGGGGCCATTTCCTGCTCGAATAACTGAGCAGACAGCCCAGAATCCTGCCCCACCAACTCTCCCAACCTATTGGCCCACACCTGCCTTTTATGAAGAACCACCTTCTCAGGTGTTGTCAGTGTTGGTTATCTGAGCAGCATTAGCCTCCTGCTTCTTGTTGGAGATGAATTTCTAAGACTGGCCCAGGCTCCAGCCCTGGGAAAACTGCATGGTGTTCCCTTTTGGCAGCTGGATGACACTCTTTCTGCTGGATCCCCCAGGATCCTGTCTTTCCTAAGAGCTTGGAGATCACAAGATCTTCGTTTTTGACTGTTTTCAGATCTCCCTTCACTCTGAAGTCATACTCCATTCCAGTCTGTTTCCACTCACTGCAGCCAGGTAAAGAAAGGCTTGCAGATAGATCAATGGGTAAGCGCTTGGCTGCTAACTGAAAAGTTGGTGGTTCAAACCCCCTTAGCAGCTCTGTGGAACAAAGACCTGGTGGTCTGGGGTAGTTCTAGTCAGTGACACGAAGTTGAAATTGACTCAACAGCACCTAACAATAGTCAAGTCACCAGCTGTATTAGGATAGTTGGAGTCTTCAGGTGGGGCAGGAGTGGGGAGGGGAAGTAAAGATTCAGTCAGGGTCTTAAAGGAAAAGTTAGATTATCAGAGCTACTAAAATGTTCCCTCCGAACCCCGAATGTAGCACAGAATTAGATCCTAAAGTGCAATGAGAAAAGTCACATTTTACCTTTAAACTTCTCATGATATTTGCATCCTACTCTAGAGTATTTTTGTGTTTGCTTTAAAAAAAAAACAACAAGACTTCAAATTTTATTAAGTAAAACTGATGTTCCAAGGAATTGTGCTGTCTCCCAGGGGACACAGTCAACAAATAATACTACCTGGGTACCCACTGTGTATGTGCCAAAGAGGGTGAAGGTGCCAACATAGTGTCTGCCCTCATGAGGGTTGTAGTTTAGAAGAGACATGCGTCCCCACTTTGAGAAGTAGAAATAGCTTGGTGGAGATGCCTAGATTGGACAGTGGGCGGTTTGGAAGTCCGTAAGAATGTTGCCTTAAAGACCAAGGTTTATGTTCATCATAGTGTTTTTATTAGCAAAAAGATGGAAACCACCTATATATATAATAGTGGAATCATTAAGCAAATTATATTACTACCATATGGCTGGCTGGTTTGTGTCATCAAGTTGCTTCCAGCTCATAGCGACCCTGTAGAGGGTTTCCGAGGCTATAAATCTTCATGGGAGCAGAAAGCCTCATCTTTTTCCCATGGAGCAACTGGTAGATTTGAACTGCTGACTGTGCAGTTAGCAGCCAGGCTTGTAATCTACTATGCTACCAGGGCTCCATATAGTGGGTTATTTAGCTATTTAATGATAAAGATAATTTTTAATGATAAAGCAAAATGCTTATGATAAAATTTTATGTAAAAAAAGGCAAACTATATATAGTAAAACATACAGACACAGACACTCAGAAAAAATATTAGCAATGTCTAAAAATGCTAACCTTGATTATCTCTGGATGGTAGAATTATGGATTCTATCTCTCTTCCTTTCTCTCCCAATAAGTGTGGATTATTCTTATCTGGTGTGGTGCTGTAGGATAAGCACTGGACTGCTAACCACACAGTTATCAGTTCAAACCTACCAGCTGCTCCTTGGGAACCCTATACAGGGTCACTATGAGTCTGAACACATTCAATGGCACTAAACAACAATAACAATTATTATCATTAACAAATAATTTATTTGATGTCTGAAGGCCTTGTGTGGTCAAGCAGAAGGGAGATTTGGAGACCCTGGGGACTAAGCTCCAGACTGAATCTAGGGAAGGAAGGGGCTAGAAGAGAGGGTGAAACAAGCCCTGAGTGCACGCTGAGGGATTCAGTGAAGACAGAAGAGGACTGGGGAGAGACTCTTGGAGTCATCTGTATTTGGGATACAGGAAGAGAAAATGGAGCCTGGGATGATGTGATGGAGACCGATGAAAAAATGCAGACAGGGCATAGCCATGCAAGTCAAGAAGGAGAACGGTTTAAGGAGTCCTGAGTGGGAAAACTGCCTTCTTCCTAGAGTTATTTAGAGGTTAGGGTTAAAGGAGACATACATATATGAAAGCTATTAGGTTTATATAAAGAATAATACTTAACTATTAGAGTCAAACCTCAGTTTGAGAACTTATTAGCTAAATGACGTTGAGGAAACATTGTAACCTCTCCAAACAGTTTCTTCATTTGTTGTTGTTCTTGTCGTTGTTAGGTACCATTGAATCGGTTCTGACTCATGGTGACCCCATGTACAATGGAACAAAACACTGTGCCATCCTCACAATTATTCCTATGTTTGAGCCCATCTTGCTGCCACTGTGTCAGTCCATTTTATTGAAGTCTTCCTCTTTTTCGCTGACCCTCTACTTTCCAAGCATGATGCTCTTCTCCAGGGACTGGTCCCTCCTGATGACTTATCCAAAGTACGTGAGACAAATTCTTGCCATCTTCTGAGGAGCATTCTGGCTGTACTTTTGCCAGCATAGATCTGTTTGTTCTTCTGGCAGTCCATGTATCTCGTGTTCTTGCAAACACCATAATTTAAAGGTATCAATTCTTCAGTGGTCCTAATTCCAGATTTTGCATGCTATTGAGGCCATTGAAAATGTCACTGCTTGGGTCAGATGTGTCTTAGTCTTTTCTTTTTAAAAACACTTTAAAGAGATCTCTTGCCGCAGATTTGTCCAATGCACTATGTTATTTGATTTTCTGACTGCAGCTTCCATAGACATTGATTGTGGATTCAAGTAAATTGCCATCCTTGACAACATCAGTCTTATCTCTGTTTATCATGATGCTGCTTAGTAGTTCAGCTGTGAGGATTTTTGTTCCTTTATGTTGAGGTGGGGAGTCTTGGTGTGGCGCTGTGGGTTAATGCGCAGATTGCAAAGCTGGTTGAACTGCAAGATTGGTGGTTCAAGCTCACCAGCTGCTCCTCAGAAACCCTGTACAGGGTCGCTGTGGGTTGGAACCAACACAACAACAACAATGTTGAGGTGGAATCTATAGTGAAGGCTGTAGTCTTTCATCTTCCAGTTCTCTTTGCTTCTGAAAGCAATGTTGTTGAATGGTCATCATTATCATAATAGTACATTGGGTTGTTTAGATTAAATAAGATAATGCATTTGAGAAATGTCTGATGTTTATGTACTAACTTAATGATAGCTATTACTATTACTGCTTTACCATCATTGTTAATATTACATGAAAGAGCATTGAACGATAAAGGGATTGCAATTAATAGCCTGTCTTTTAGAAACATTGCTTCTGGTCCTCTGGGTAAGGATTTCTATACCTGGGACTCTGAGATGTTCGCTCAGTTCCTTCCCCTCTTACTTCAGTTCTTCACTCTGCCATCATGAGGAACATCTTCAAGAGGAATCAGGAGCCCATTGTGGCTCCTGCAACCACCACCGCCACAATGCCAATTGGCCCTGCAGACAACTCTACCGAGAGTGGGGGTGCTGGAGAGAGCAAGGAGGACATGTTTGCCAAGCTGAAGGAGAAGTTCTTCAATGGGATCAACAAGATCCCCTGTGAGTGGACCCTAATGACTGAGAGGGCGGGGCAAGGCTAGAGTCGGGAATGACTTTGTAGGCAGGGCAGGGTTTGTGGAAAACTGGGATATGTGAACCAGTGGGGTGTGATTGGCTGGTTTCTTACTTAATGCTTAGATTTCAGGTTGGATTATTTGGGGGTCCCCTCTAGGAAAAGGGGAAGCTATGGTCTGGTATTAATGAGGAAACAGTGGGCTTATGTGCCCCCTACCTTCAAGAAGAAAAGGAAGTTCTTATAACTTAAAAAACTGTACCAAGAAAATAAAACTAAAGGAAAACAAAAGAAAATTAAACAAATTCCTAGTCATGTTCTCCAGTGGCACTTAAAAATTGCTATATTTTGGAAGATAAGAAATAGAAGCCTTCATTGCTTTCTGAGTTCCTGGCAGAGGCTGTATGGGAGATAACAGAGACCCAGCTCAGGAAGAGCAAACACACTCTGGGGGAAGGCTTTTCTTTAGCACCATGGGGAGCAGCCCAGAGCCCATTCCCAAATACTTGAGTTCTTAAACGCTAACTCTTGTAGGTCCAGGCTAACCTTTCAGGAGATTGACCTTTCTGTCTTTGGGTCACCCTCCCATGAGGGGCGCAAGGGGTAGGACCAGAAGATCAAAGGCACTCTTCCTACAGCTGGCCAGTTCTCCAGGGATCAAACTAGTCAACACCCAATAGAGCCAAAGTGATGCTCCTCCACATGTATACCTGGCTGCCACCTCTCATCAGCAGACTGTCCTCAAGGACAGCAGGCTAAGGAAAGTGCTTGGGTGTGTGCTTCAAACATTGAGGAGTGTGGTATTGAGGGTCATTTTTGCCATTGCTATGGGGTCAGGGACAGTGGCGCAGGGCACTGCTGACTCCTGTGTGTGGGGTCTTCTCGTTGTGGGCAGTACCTCCCTGGGCACTGATCGCCATCACTGTGGTTGCTGGCCTCCTGCTCCTCACCTGTTGCTTCTGCATCTGTAAAAAGTGCTGCTGCAAGAAGAAGAAGAACAAGAAGGAGAAGGGCAAAGGCATGAAGAATGCCATGAACATGAAGGATATGAAAGGGGGTCAGGTAGGACACCTGCAGGGGGGAAGGGCTGGGAGGGGACCATCCCAGGTCTTCCTGAAGGTAAAAGGTGAAACAAAGGCATTTGAGTTTCTACAACCAAACTGGCTCTCCTCCTTACAACAAACTGGCTCCCCTTTTTTAAAGCAATGCATGAGGAAACACCTCAGCCCTATTGCTACAGCTCTAGAGTAACATCATCTATTGGTCAGCAAGTGGGGACGGAGACTTACTTGCATGCTAGCATGATCATGTCCTTCAAAGGACAGAGGAAGAGATCAATGTTGACCCCAAAGAAGCTAATGGGTAAAATATTGGAGAAAGAGACCACTTCTCAGGGAAGACACATCTGGGTAGCCCTGTGTCTTTGCCAGATAAGACGGGAGGACCACATCTCATTGAAGAGATCTGGCTGGAGGGCAAAAGAATAATCCTGAGACACCAAGACAGGGCCAGCCTGAGTCATCTATAATCACATATTTGATTTATCTAACTCTACCTGAGTTTGGTCAGCCTGGGAAGATTCCTTGAGATTCCAGTTTCTCATCCTCATATGCTCCATGTTTATTTGGGGAATTATTGGGAGAAATCTCTCACTTGAGGAACAAATATGGAGGCTTGATCTCAAGAAGGAATCCGTCAGGGATCAAAATAGCTTCTGAGTGCTTGCCAATATACACACATGTATGTACATGTGTGTGTGTGTGTGTGTGCCCTAAATAAAACTATAGTGAGAGTGTGGGGGGGGGGGCGCTGGGGTCCCAGTATTACCTGGGCATACTCCACCTGGTCTTACCAATTGACCACAATTTGAGGAGCTGGTTAGAGCTGGAGGACTTTCTCTCATATCATGTTTTCCTTTCTCTTTCCACCTCTGTGGCCCTACCCTGCTCCTGTCTGCCTTGCCGGAACGCCTGGTATGTCTTGCCCAGGGTGGGTAGAGTCTGAGCAGGGGAAAGTACCGGTGGTGGGGATAGTTGTGTGCCACTGAGTCCATTCCGACTCATAGTGACCCGTAGGGTTTCTGAGACTGTAAATCTCTATGGGAGCAAAAGGCCTCATCATTCTGCCTCATAGATTCAAACTGTTAACCTTGTGGTTAACAACCCAACTGCGCTACCAGGGCTCCTTGGGCAAACGACTGGGGAGGGAGCTAGTAAAGGAAGCATTTCTTGCACTCAAGAAGTGTAAAGCATTTGGCACAGTTTCTGGCTCTTGGTAGTGTGCTCATAGAGAGGACAGAACCAAAGCCATGGCCATCGAGTTGATTCTAACTCAGAGCAGCCCTAGTGGACATAGTAGAACGCTCCCTAGGGTAAATCTTTAAGGGAACATAGGGTTTCATCTTTCTTCCTCGGAGTGGCTGGTGGGTTTGAATCACCGACCTTATGATTGGCAGCCCAGCAGTAACCCTTGGCACACCAAGGACCAGAGTCAGAGTCATGTCTTCCAAGCCCAGGGCTGGGATTCTCAGAGGCTCAGGGAAGGTCCTGGAGGAACAAACTGGGGTTCTACTGGGCTGTGGGAAAGCACAGTCCCCTGAGTCCCACACCCAGTTCTGAGTCAGGGTCCGGTCTGAGGGGCAGGCTTCCTGTTGTTGCTCCAGGGCCAAGACAGTCTGCTCTCTTCTCCTCTGCTAACACATGCCTCCCTTCTCCCAGCCGCCACAGGATGACGATGACGCGGAGGGGGCCCTGACTGAGGGAGAAGGTGAAGGTGAGGAGGAGAAAGAGCCTGAGAACCTGGGCAAACTGCAGTTTTCCTTGGATTATGATTTCCAGGCCAATCAGGTGTGTAGGTCTGGCTGAGGGTGTGTGGTGGGAAAGGATGGAGAGGGTTGGGAGTGGGTGTGAAGAGGTGAAAACAGCCTCCTGCCTCAGTCAGAGGCATGGAGTTGTTCCTTTCCCTGGCTGGGGCCAGATGACATCAGAGCACATACATCCCTGGACCAATACCGACTCTGGCTTGTCCACCAGTCTCTTCTGGGAATGGTGTCAGCCCAGGCTGACCTTGCTATTAACCTGCCCCAAACCTTAGGCAAATCAATTGCCCTCTCAGCTCCAGACCCCCCACGTGTCATTGTCAACTTCTACGAGGCAACGAGACTAATCTTCCCTTCCTGCACCACTCATTCTTCAGGAGGGGTGGGTGGGTGCTAGGTCTGTGGTCGATCTGAGACTCAGCCCTCCTCCCTCCCTCTCTCCACAGCTCACCGTGGGCGTTCTGCAGGCTGCAGAACTGCCCGCCCTGGACATGGGAGGCACCTCTGATCCTTACGTCAAAGTCTTCCTCCTTCCAGACAAGAAGAAGAAATATGAGACCAAAGTCCATCGGAAGACCCTGAACCCTGCCTTCAATGAAACCTTCACCTTTAAGGTGACGCTGTTAGCTCCCTCTCTGACCCCATCCTGCATACTCTTCCATCCTTAGCCTCAGCTGAGGTCCCTGGGACCAGCTCAGTCTGGAACAATGTCAGGGGTCCATCTGCATGTGACGCTCCTACCCGAGCTTCTTCTGTCACACTCTAACCCTCCCCACATCCGCCACCTCCACTCTGGCTGCACTCTGCTCCCTGTAAGCCTGGGTCTTCTGTGTCTGCAGACTTCCTGTGAACCCTCGGGTAGTTGGAACAGAGGCCTAGCTAGACCCAGGGCTTGTCCACAGTGCCCCTGGAGGTGCAGGAATTACTTTGACCCCTCTCTGCCCCTGACTGTGCTCTGCAGGTGCCATACCAGGAGCTGGGAGGCAAAACCCTGGTGATGGCCATCTATGACTTTGACCGCTTCTCCAAACACGACATCATCGGAGAGGTGAAGTTGCCCATGAACACAGTGGACCTCGGCCAGCCCATTGAGGAGTGGAGAGACCTGCAAGGAGGGGAGAAGGAGGAGGTGAGAGCAGAAGGCAGGCCAGCCTAGGCAGAAAGACTCAAGGGTCACTCGCCTGGGCCTTCACTTTTTGCAGGAGAAGAAGAGGGGAAGCTTTAGAGCCAGGCAAGTGGGCTTAGGAATCCAGCCCCATGCTTCCTAGTTGTGCAACCCTGGGCAAGTTGCGTCATCTCTTTGGACCCAAGTTCTCTTTTTACAGATAAAGACTAGTTATGGAAAGTGCCCAGCACAGTATCTGGCATTACTTAGCACTCAAGTAAATGAGAGCACCATTATTATTACTACCCCAAAACTTCTGCGGCCACCTGAGGCAGTGAGGCAGGGCTGTGCCTCGGTTTACTCACAGGAAAGCCCAGTTTTATTCTAAAGGATTTTTGGCATGGGAACTGGTCCTCACAGTGATGGATCCAGTATTTATTCATTCATTGAGTTGTTACTGAGTTAGAGTGGCCGTGGACGGCAGAGTCCCCATAGCGTTTCCTAGGCAACTATCTTTATAGGAGCACATCACGAGGTATTTACCCCCTAGGAGCGGTTGGTGGGTTTGAACTGCTGACCTTTTAATTGGCAGATGAGCACTTAACCATTGTGCCACCAGAACGCCTTACTGAGCATCTACTATGCGCCAAAGGCTCCCACTGTGTCCACTGTTCCCTTCCAGGCAATCAGTCAGTCAGTGGGATCTCAGCCAGGCCCCTAATGTGGCCCTGCGGCTCTCAGCAGTGATGGTGGGACTAGAAGAGATGCTCACAGATGGCATCCGCCCTTTCCTTGGGGCTCACACTGTCTGCCAGGCAGGGCCAACACACCTGGACAGGGCACCTGTGATGTGCTCAGGGCCAGCCAGCGGCCCTCTCAGGTGGCAGGATTCTGGAGGCAAGAGGTTCTAAGAACACAGTCTTGGCTCCTTGCTCTTACAAGTCCCTCAGGGGCTTTGCTGAGCTGCAGCTTGGCACTAAGCTCAGACACTGATAAGCCAGCTAAGTCATCACAGATGTGGGGCATAGTGCAGTGAGGTGGGGACCAGTCTTCCTAGTCTGGGCAAGACAGGGTATGCCCAGGCTAGAGGTAGTGGGGTGGTTGAGATGACCCTTGGCCCTCCTTCCACCTGGACAGCCAGAGAAGCTGGGAGACATCTGCACTTCCCTGCGCTATGTGCCCACGGCTGGGAAGCTCACTGTCTGTATCCTGGAGGCCAAGAACCTCAAGAAGATGGATGTTGGAGGCCTTTCAGGTATGTGCAGACCTTTGGGCTACCATTGGGTGGCACTAGCGAGCTAGCCACATCCCAGAGCCTTTGGTGTTTGCACAGTCCCAGTTAGAAAGAACACTTTCTGCTGGACCTCTGACCAGGGGCTATGTTCTGCATTTCCAGTTTACTGACAGTGCCTGGATTGGCCCCACACACAGGGTTCGGGTGGGAAGGTGGAGAATCAGCCCCGGCTCTGTCACTGGTTCCCTATGTGGTGTTGGGCAGGTCACTTCCTTCCTTTGTCCCAATGTTTGTCATCTGCAGATGTGCGTTATACTTTTAGCGTCCTCTGAGAGACATCACCAATCAACACCCACACTCTCTCAGGAGAGGCTGACTTAGACTTGGGAATTTCCCCAACATAATGCACTAGGCAGCCACAACCAATCTGTCAGAGTCGGTGTTTAAGGTAAAACCTTTTTGCCATCCCTAAATGAGATGGTGTGTCTCAGAGGCCTTCTGGACTTAATGTCCTAAGACATGGGGCTTTCTAAGACCAGGTCTTCACAAGGTCTCAGCAGGCTGGGATAGTGGGGGACTAATGGGAACTTCCTTGGGGCTGGGTTTCCCCCTCCTCAGATCCCTATGTGAAGATTCACCTGATGCAGAATGGCAAGAGGCTCAAGAAGAAGAAGACAACGGTGAAGAAGAAGACCCTGAACCCGTACTTCAACGAGTCCTTCAGCTTTGAGATCCCTTTTGAGCAGATTCAGGTGCGCTGACTCTTTAGGTCGTAGGCTTGGTGCAGGGGTGAGGGAGGCTCAGGTGGAACTCTGGGTTTAATGGTACTACAGAAGGGCCTCCTCCCCCAAAGCCCTCCTATTCTGAGGAGAGAAACATGATCTAATTTTTGGTGATGTTAGAACAAGAGGAGTCCTCGTTATGGAGAACTTAAGACTTGGGCAACTCCAAGATACAGAAAGCCAGTAGGACAAACTTCTCCACACTCTCCCTCCCAGCCAAACCTGCTCCCTCTGGGTGCTCTATTTACCTAAGCAAGAAACCCGGGCATTCTCTTAGACCTCTCCCCCTCTCCAGAGGCTCTTTTTCCTTTCCCATTTATCCAGAATTCTGAGCATTTTCAAAGTGCTCGACACTCTCTAGGGGCTGGAGGGAACAGATGTGAAGAAACAGTCCTTACCTTGAAGGAACTCACAGTCGTCCGGAGGGGTCCAATCAGGTCATTCAAACATGGTACAAGGACAGCTCCTGCAGTGTGAACCTCTTAAGGTTCCCAGAGCAAACCTGGTCCTAAAGGCCCAGTATGGTTGGGCTGGGCTCAGAAAGGTGAAATGTATTCCCCTTTCCCTTAGCAAATCCAACTGGTCACCCAACCTCTTGGTTCTCTCCCCTAGACATCCCTCCAATCTGACCCCACCTTCCCATTCCCACTGCCACTGCCTTGGTGCCCATAGTCAATGTTCATCCTCCCATTCATTACTCCTCTCCCCAGTGAGTCTCCCTGACATCTCAAGGCCAGCCTTCGCTTTCTAAAATCTCTGTTATAGTCTTTAGGAGCTCTGGTAGCGTAGTGGTTACGAATTGGGCTGCGAACCTCAAGGTCAACAGTTTGAAACTACTAGCTGTTCTGTGGGAGAAAGATGAGGCTTTCTGCTCCCATAATTTCCCAGCATTGGAAACCCTGTACAGGGTCACTATGAGTTGGAACCGATTCCACAGTACATAACAACAACTTTTGGCCTGTGGAGTCCTGGTGTGGCCCTGTAGGAGAAGCACTGGACTGCTAACCAGAAGGTCAGTGGTTCAAATCCACCAGCTGCTTCTCGGAAATCCTATACAAGGTTGCTATGAGATGGGACCAACTTAATGGCACTTGGCAACAACACTCTTGACGTGTGGGATAAAATGCCAGCTCCCTACCTAGCTTGAACCCACCCTACTGATCTCATTCCCAGTCTCTTTGATTCTAACTCTGTATCTCAACAACTCTGAATTTGTTCTGCTTCCCAAACACTAAATGGACTCTCATGTCTCTCTACCTTGACCCCATCTAATGTTCTTTTCTGGAATCTTCACTCATTCCTCCACCTGGAGATATCCTCAGACTTCATGTGTTCATTCAAAAGTCCCCTTTTCTAGGAAGTCTTTTGGCCCTGAGCAGGAATGTCATGTCTTCTGGGTTTCTGTAGGCCCTTCAGCTTACCCTTCTAGCATTATCATTTTGTGCTGTAAGTTTAGGTACATGGGTGTTGATGTAATTAGAGATAAAGTTCATCTTCTGACTTTTTCTCAACTGTCCTTGCTTAGTGCAGTGCCTGGAGCATAACACATGCTTAATAAATGCCGCCTGGTGGAGACACAGACTGCCTTTAAGTGTGGCCTCTGGCTCCAGTAAGTTGTCTTACTTGGCATTGGAGGTGGAAACAAGGCGCCCTGGGAGGCTTCTCCTGCCCAATCATTTGGAGACAGGTTGATGGAGGGGGAGAAGGTTGGCCATGGGGTCCCACCTCTTCGCCTATCAATTCCCTCCCTCCTTTGCTCTCCTTGCAGAAAGTCCAGGTAGTGGTCACCGTGCTGGACTATGACAAACTGGGCAAGAACGAAGCCATTGGCAAGATCTTTGTGGGCAGCAATGCCACAGGCACAGAGCTACGACACTGGTCCGACATGCTGGCTAACCCCCGGAGGCCCATCGCTCAGTGGCACTCGCTCAAGCCTGAGGAGGAGGTGGATGCACTTCTAGGCAAGAATAAGTAGGCAGCCATAGCTGGGACCCTGCTCCCTTCACAGACACTGACGAGATCCAGAGCTATCAATACCTCAGTTATGCAACCTTAGAGGGGGTTTGTTGTTGTTTCTTTGTGGTTGTGTCCTTATTTTTCCTCCCCTTATCTCTTTTTTAAAAGACCAACTTCCCTCTGATGGCTGTGTGAGGAGAGTCCCCTAAGAGGTGAAAGAGATGCTTAGCTCTTTTCATTGCCCCAGGAGCTGCCCTTGCTGCATGCCTGGTCATGTTTCCCCCTTAATCTTTCAGTTTCACGTACAACTCACTGTGAGTGAGGCCGTCTTCTGGAAGAAGGTTGCAGCACTTTCCTGCTTTTGAGTGTTCCACACCAACAAAATGGCAGCACATCCCGTTTCCTGATAGGGAAGGCAGTGCATTGGCCAATGATCTGTGTGTGTGTGTGTGTGTGTGTGTGTATGTATATGTATGTATGTATGTATATATATATATATATATATATATATATATATATATATATAAAAACTTTGAGCATCTCTCTTCATTCCTGGAATGAGTCATGGACAGTTGTGTGGGAAGAAATGTTTCTTCAGGAACCCTGAACTGAAGAAAATCCACTGTCTTAAGTGGGAGATCTTCTGTCAGCTTGTGGAGAAGACTCAGAATCCAGGTCATATGCCAGAAATTCCCATTCTGCTTGTTGGTGGCTATGTGGAAGGCAGCAAGATGTGGAGAATGGATTTATCCAGACCTAGGACCAAACCCCTGATGCCATCATAGACTTCCTCCTCCTCCTGTAAGTCATGGTTTCCTAGAAGTGTGGTTTCTGGGACATTCATGGAAAGAAACTATTTGCTAGACTGGCCAAACTCTCAACAGGGACTCTCAGTCCCAGGACATCACTCTTGTTGACAATATTAAACTATGGAGAAACAGACGTCCCATTACCCAGAAAGACCAAAATGAAACTGCTGGATCTCAACTTTCTTCTTGTGAGAAACACAGATGCTTTCTCCCTTTGCAGAATATAAGCAGTGCTGTTCATTTGCATTGGTTCCCATCATGCTTTTGCTTATGCTTCTCTTTTAATTTCAGTGGAGCAGTGCTGTCTGAAGACACATTATCTGTACAGAGCCAGAGAGCTTTAAAAGAAAGGCTTAAATGTTCTTAGTTCTTCTGAGGTCCAGGTAAGAAGGGAGTGGGGATGAGGGTGAGATGGTGAAATGACAGAGACTCCCTGAAGAGGTAGATGGAAGCACTACAATTTCCCCAACTCCCAGTGCCCTGGATCCTGGGTAGCTGGAGTCACCCAGGGAGGCTCATGGGGAGGTCCCATTCTGCCATTCCTTAGGAAGTTTCTATGAATTCTAAGGAACAAAGGCGATCCATTCCTAATGGATGGTGGCAGACACCTGCCAGGGTTTCTGTCTCATGCTCACTTGTGTCCCGTTCCCCTTCCACCTTTTGTCCCCAGCACATAAAAAGCCATATATATGTTAGTCAAGTTTGCACTGAGTCCCCTTCCAACCTTCAGTCTGGGCAAGAGACAGGTCCCCATGTGACCAGGGGCTGGTCTTTGGCCTCTTCTTCCGAACCTTGTCTCCCTTCCTCCAGCCCTTCTCTTCTATCCATAGAGTCCTCAGGCCCTTGCCATTTCTTCACCACAGAAAACTCTAGCCTTCTTAAAAAGCTTTGGGATCTCTCTCATTCCCAACCAAAATGGCAGCACTTTCTGGCCTGCCTCATCTAGTTTCCTCTAAGCCCCTGAGACAGATGGACAGGGTAGGAAACAGTCAGGCTTTAAAGACCCAGCATGAAGAAGGTGCTGAGTGTCTTTTGTTGCTGTCTTACTTTGTGGTTTGGTTGGAGTGGAGATTGAGGAATCACCCCCACCAGAAAGACTGGGAAGCAGGGCCCAGAAGGCTGAGAAACCTCCGTTGGAGCTGAGGAATGAGCGATTCCATGCTTTTAATGTCGCAGACTAATTCTTGGGGCTTCTGAGACTTAGGTCTCACCCAGCATTATAGAGAGAACCTGGTGTCCCTTTATAGACTGAGCCAGAACTGCCTCCACCCGGCCCTGTCCCTGCTCCCTGAGCTGGCTGGTTGGCAGGGAGGGAGGGGTCCCGATGTCTGACTTGGTGACACACAGCCCCTATGCTAGAGTTGTTATATTTAGAAAATAAAAATACAGACTTCCCAGTAATATGCGAATTTCAGATTAACAAGGAATAGTTTTAAGGAATAGTTTTTAAGTATAAGCATGTCCTGGCAATATGTGGGACAATGTTGTGCTACAAAAATTGGCTTATATGAAGTTGAAGTTCCAATTTACTGGCCAGCCTGTATTTTATCTGGCCACCCTAAAGTCTATCTACATCTCTCCTCACCCCCTTGGTGCAAGGGGCCAGAGATTGGCCATCCAAGGTTTCCTTTGACTTGTGTTTGGAATTGCAATATTGAGAAGAGGACATATGAATATACTTTATTTTTTAAGTAACAGCAACAACAAAAAAATCTTCTGAAGCCATTTGAGCCTCATCTGACTCCCCCCAACCCCCATGTGCATTTAGTTATATATAAGATAATTATCTATAAACATAGGAGCAGAATCTTGTGGAACCAAGATGCATGTCTAACTTTCTGTAAATAGCCGCATGGCAATGCTGAGAGTCCCTACACCCCCAACCTCAAACCCCTTTTACAGAACTTGTTGAGGCTGCTCCTTCAATTTTATGTTGTGTTAAGTCTTTGTCCCCCAGCACTACCCTGCCTCCGCCCCATCGGGAACCTCTCAGTGCGGGCCATCAGCCCCTGGGAGTTGGTTTCTAGCTCTGGTCCAGATGCTGGAGACCTTGGGAGCCCTGGGAGGCCCTCCCGCCGGCTCCTGCTGAACCACCTGCAGAGCCAGAGGTTGGTGGGCAGTGTGCTGTGTTGGGCCCAGTGTCTGTCCCAGTAGCTTCTGTGTCCTGTGTATGTGGTGTGCCCCTTCTGTTCCCTGTCAGAATTAACTGAAAAGCCATAAAGGGGGCCTCCTGCTGGAGACTGCCCTCCCTCCACACCTCCCAGGAGCTCCCATGTCCCTCTGACTGGCTCCCCCGCTGAACACTTGTGACAGGCTTAATGTTGTCACCCTCCTGCTCCCTCAACCCTGTGTCAGGAGGATGGATGGAGTCCAGGACTTCTGGTGGGGCCTCCCAGGTACCCCTCACTGGTCTGACTAGCTCCCACGGCCCGGGGTTTGCAGCCTACTCCGTCTCCATCTGGTTGGGGCCCTGTAGAGGCAGCCAGGAATTTTAGTGTAGCCTCTGGACAGGCTGCCAGTGCCCATCTGGGATAGACAGGCCTGCCTGCTTTTACAGGGTCTGTGGGGTTCTTAGGTGAGGACCTCTTGGAGAAACCAAGGGAATCGCTCTGCAGAGGCAGTGGTCTCACTGAATGTCTCTGTGCTTCCTCTTGCAGTCCACAGAAAGCACCCTGAGTGGCAGGCCTGCAGGGGGTTCCCCTGAGAGGTGAACAAATCACTCTGGGTAGGGACTCAGGCCAAGCAGGTCTGCCCCAGGGTCTCCTCCAACCCTCTCATAGCTACCAGAGCCCATGGTAGGAAAGCAGAGTTGAGGGGGCTAGATGCTTCAAAGGCCCCAGGCCATGCAAGAGGCATCTCCCAGCCTGCAGCTCTGGCCCCATGGACACTTGGCAGGGGCAGATGCTGCCTCTGAATGTCCCTGGAGGCCTTAGACACAGCAGTGGTATGGAGCACAAGGCAGGAGCTGAGAGTGGGGTGGGGAGATGGACAGGCTGGGCTATCAGACCAGGTGAGGCCAGACGACCACGAGGCAGGGTGAGCCTGGTGCCAGCTTGCTGCTGGGATGGAAATGGAGTGAGAAGAGCAGGTGGGGAGAGGTGGTTGGAGTAGTCATGGTGGGGAGATAGGTCTGCCCTTTCCAGCTCTGTCTGGGATCTTCCCACTCTCCAAACCATAGCAGAGTTGGAAACAGGCAGTTGAGGGACAGTTTGGCCTGGCAAGAGGTCAGGAACCGTGCACTTAGGGGGGCCAGAGTGGCTCAGGGCCTTGGGGGACCCTCTCCAAGAAGCCTAGCTGTCCTTCCCTGTCTCCTCCCCAGTTAAGGATTTGTTGCTTCCTGGAAACGTCAAGCCTGGGCGGGGGCCCTGGACTACTGCACTGCCCCCCACCAGGATCCCCTACCTTGGTCTTCATAGGAAAGACATACTTATAGCTCTGTTCCCCCCCCCCCCCCCCCCGGGTCCCTGCTTGGCAATGCTCTCTACCCCACCCCCTTATGTGGACTCTGTGGTTCTTGTCTGATCTCTTGTCACATTGTTATTTTGTAATGAGCTGCGTCTCCTTATTAAAGAAATGAGCTGAAATAAACCTGGGGGTGGGGGGTGTCTTAGTTGTTTTTGCTGGGCTGGGAGCAGCTGAGTGGGTGAGGGTGGGAGCAGGCTCTGGTTCTAGCCCAGCATCTCCCTTAAATTAAGCTGCAAAAGGGGCCCAAGACCCAGTCTCCCTCTCTTCTTGGGGGTGGGGAAGAGCAGATTGGCACTGCGTGTAGGGGAAGGTGGGGACAGAGGCTACATGCCAGTGCCCAGCAGCTCTTTGAGAGGAAGGGTGGGGGTCGGGGTACATCTCAGAGACTGGATTCCTTTTTAGGAGAGCTAGGTTTAGGGAATAGCCACAGTGACAGGGAGGCTGGCCCTGGGACACAGAGGCATGAAAAGATGATTGGGGATTTCTGCAAAGCCCTCAATTGTCCAGCTGCAAAAAACCCTTCACACATTTTTGACATTCCTGACCAAGATGTCAGGGACAAAGGACTGCCTTCAGAATTTTTAAGAGAAACTAAGGCAGCCCTGATCCTTTGTTGTTGAGTGCCATCGAGTCAGTGCTGACTGAATAGGGTTTCTAAGGAGAGGCTGGTGAGCTTGAAGCACCCACCTTGTGGTTCAAACTGACTATGTGGTCCAGTGCTTTATCCTTCAGCGCTACACCCCAAGATAAGGAAAAAGTTACCCTTCTTTGTCAATTTCCACTCTGGCTCCCAGGTCTGCGATTCCAGGGCAGCGGACACACAGAGATAATGTTTGTGGCCTTGGAACCCTGGCATCAGACGTGTTCGGTGCCTCTGTGTCAGACCCCACGACAGGTCTGAAGTCTTCATCCATGACATCATGTGTATTTGTTCTGCTGCTGCTTGGGCTACAAACAGCAGGGTGACAGCAGGGGAAAAGAATCTTCCCTCCCAGACTCCCCTGTGCTCACTCCAAGTTGGTGGCCAGGGATCTCTACTTGGCAGAAAGTTCAGAGCTGAGCCGAGCTGGCAGCTGGACTTGCTGGGCAGAGCAAGGAGACCCAGGCCTTGGCAGGGGAGACCAGACCTGGACTGCCCACTACAGACCCTGCCAGAGGACCTGGGCAGCCGCCTCCCTGGTCACACCTCTTCGGAGTTTGCATTTAACCTCCAGTAACTCCCCACGATAAACACTGGACTGCAAACCACGAGGTCTGCTCATGGGAAAAAGATGAGGCTTTCTGCAATGATTTTTAAAAGCCTCCGAAAGCCCATACAAAGTCACTGCGAGTTGGAACTGATTTGAAGGCATTTAACAACAAAACTCCCAACTTAAGCTACATTTGTAGTCTGAAGTTGTGGAATCATTTTCAATCTCCTGAATCCAACAGTGAGCTAATGCTGACCATTATGCAGAGCAGAGGGTTAAGTGTGACTGCCAGGATCCCTCCAGGACCCCAGGAAAAGCACCACTTTGCTGTGTTGCAACTTGCCTGAGCATTAGTCTTGGTGGGCTCAACAGCCTTGCCATTAGCTCTGCCGTCTTCAGAAAAATCACCACGCTCAGCCACGAGAACCTGATTTCTTCTTATGCTTCTTCTGAAACTCCCATGCAGGCTGAGAAGACGCAGCCACCAAGTTAAAACACAGTTTTATTTACTCATTTATAAATACTGTTGTGTTTACAGGCAT